TCTATTTAAATTCTCTAGAATGGTAGAGAATTCAAATAAAACTTTCAATAATAATTTTGATATTTGTTTTCAAACAATAATAAAATTAAATAAAAATTTAGAAAATTTTAGAAATAACAAAGATAAATCCTAAAAAATAAAAGTAATAAAATAAATTTGGTGTTGGAATTTTAAGAGATCAAGAATGGTTGATCCTATAAAAAAAAATTTTGTATGAGAAACTTTAGATGAGAAACTTATTTCTAAATTTTTCTAAAATGATGGTAAAATTAGATGAAATTTTAATGATTTTTTAAATATGGTAAACAATAAAGATAAACATAAGAAGTTTTAGATATGAAAAAAAAAATTCGATGATTAAATTCTAAGAAATCAAGAATGGTTGATTTTTTTAGAAATCTTTGAGTCATAGAATATTTCTAAATGTTTTTAGAATGGTGAAAATTTTAAATATATCTCAATATAATAGAAATTTAGATATGAAAAATTTACCCAAAGTAAATCTGAGAATGAAATTATTAGTACTAATAAGTGGATGATTATCTAATAAATTTTTAGATGAAAAAATTTTTTCTAAAATTGATCGAAATGGTGAAAATTTTAGATACATTTTCAATAAAAACAAAATTTAATAAATGACTAAGTCCTTGTTCGACGATGGAATCTCTTAAAAAAAAAAAAGCAAATGAGATTCTTGAATATCTTTGAGATGTGAAAATATTTTTAAAAATTTAGATAGATTGATGGAGAATTTTTAAAAATTATTTTTAATATTTAATATTTAAATTTAATAGAAGACCATTGGACCAAGATTTTTAGGATAATATAAAATTAAGTGGTATCACTTTTTAGATAGGGGTGTAAGAGGTATTATAATTTTCTTTATACGTAATCGAACTCTTAAATCTTATTTTGAAACGTAGACTAGAAACTATTCTTTAGGGAAATCTTTCATTAAACTTAGGACTTTCTCAAAGAAATAGATTCATGTAGGTGATCAATTATAACTAAATAAAAAAATTTGATAGTGACTCCTTAAATTGTGTTTAGCAATAAATCTATGAATTTATACGTTATAACATAAATAATATTGTTAAATTAATTTTATTACTTTTAAGTAACACCCATTATGACATATATAATATTATTGAATTAATTTTATTACTTTCAAGTAGCACCCATTACTTTTTTGTGAGACCCTTTTTTTCTCCAATTTAATTATTATTTGTTTTTTTTTTACTTTTTTTATTTTTTTAATATTTAATATTTTACTTTTTAAAATTTTTAAATATATGATATCATAAATTTATTTTTGTGAGGCCTACTATTTTTGAATGATGGGACCTATTTTTTTTCCTTGATAAGATTTTTTATTATTTTACTTTTTATATATTTATTATTTTAAAATATATTTTTGGTAAGGACCCATTATTTTTTTAATAGGGTTTATTTTTTGAGTTTTTTTTTATATTTTATGTTTTTTAATGGGGATTATGATTTTTTATAGATTCATTTTTTGTTTTTTATTTTTCTGTAAGGCCAATTATTTGAAAAATTTTTGAAGCTTTTCATGATATTTTAAAATTTTTTTACTATTTTTATATATTTTATGTTTTATTTTAATGAAACCCATAATTTTCTTATAGATCATTTTTGTGTTTTTTTTTTATAATTTATATTTTTTTAAAATGTGAGACATACTTTTCTATTGTATTTTTTGGAACTCATTTTATCTTTGTCCTTCTTAAGTTTTTCGATTGGTGTTGCATGTTTCTATTTTTTTACTTATTTAATAAAAATAATAGAAATAAGTTTTTCTATTTCTATTTAATAAATTTTTTTTATTCTTTTGACCTAGTTGATACCAATTTCTTTCCTTTGTCAAAAAACTTAATTTTTATATCTTTTTTTTTTTTAGACTTACTTAATATGAAAGGTATGCCACATGTTAAACAAATTGTTTCATGAATAAACTTGAATAACTTCTAAAGCAAACCTTACACAAAAAAAAAAAAAAAATCATCTCAACAAAATTACTAATATAAAAAAAAAGAAAAAGTAAATAAAAATAAAAATAAAAGATATAAATCCATTATATAAGTTTTGCAAAGAAAACTCATTATTGCTTATGTTGCATTGCAACTTGACTTTTTTTTTTTTTGGCTTTTTCATCTTTTCTTTTTACTTTTCCTAAATATTTTACTTCCTTCCATTTTTTTATTAGATATTATTTTGAAAAAGAGTCTACGAAAGTGTAAAAGTAGCATTCTATTTCATTTTTTTCTTCGCTATTTGTTTTAATCAAATAATTTACAGCAAAAGAAATTATTAAAGTTTATTTTTTACAAAAATATTAATTGAAGTATACTCAATAAAATAACTCATATCCGATGGATTTTGATTTGTTCAAATCTAATAGGTGCATTTTTTAGTTGAGATTGAATCAAGACTTTTTCTCAAAAATCAAGGACGAGTTGGAAATAGGTTTATAAATTTTTTAGTTTTGCCTTAACTATATATTAAACTATATTATATATATTTTTAAAATTTATATTTATCTATATATATTATATTAATAAAATTATTATTTAATATCTTAATTTAAGAGAAATATTATATTATATATAATTAAGATGTAATCCATCCGTCCGTTCATTATATAAAATTTATTTATTTTTACTTTTGTTTGACCTTCATTCAAATGCTCAACGTGCTACTATGCTTTTTTAGTTTCTTTTCCTTTTTTTTTTTCAACTTTTTTTGTTTTGTATTTTTTATTTACATAAAGTTTGTGAAAAAAGTATACATCTCCATGTGGTATCCCAATTTACTTTTTTTCCTTTTGGCTTTTTTAGTTTTTTAATTTGAGAAATTTTGCCCAAACAAAAAAAAAAACCAATGGATAGGAATATCAAAATAATTTGTATCCAATGAATTCCCACTCAAATGGGATGTTCACATGGTACCCTAATAAACTTTTTTTTTCTTTTTTTTTCATTTTATGTTTTCCATTTTTAGCTTTTTTTGTTCTTTCCCTTTTTTTTTATTAAAATTCTTTTGTAAAAAAAAAAATCAATAAAAGGTGTCCATGTAGCATCCATTTGCCTTTCTTTTCATTTTAATTTTTTTATTAATTATATAAATTTTGCAATGAAAAGTGTCAATTGATATATATGCCAAAATAATTAAAATATATGATTGGTTTTGATTCATCTAGATCCAATAAGGATATATATATATATATATATATATTTTAAATTTGAGTTGAGTCGAGACAGGTTAAGTATTTTTTTAAAAAAAAAATGATAATATTGAGTCTGAAATATATTTATGGTGTTTTGTTCCGACCAATTTTGAGGTCTATATTAATTTATATATTTTACAATTAATCAAATTTTTACATATATATACTATATTTATAAAATTATTTTTAACTTTAATTTAAAAAATTCATGTTTTAATATCAGAGTGTCAATGTAACACCCTGTATAATTTTTTTTTTTAGTTTTTTCATTTTTTCTTTTCATTTTTTTGGTGTTTTAGTTTTTAATTTTAAAAATTTAAATTACATAAATTTTATGAGCAGAGGAAGTCAATTAAGGTATTCACATGTTATTTCCGTTTACGTTTTTTTTTTTTTTTTTCTAATTTTTTAATTAGATAACTAAATACAGATGATAAAAGAAAAAATTTAATCTGGGACAACATGCCGGTATATTTTTAATATACATAAAACAACTAAAATTTCGACTTATCTTTCATTTCACCTTCTCAGGAGATCATGCAAGGGAGTTTGACATGTTAGGGACTCTAACAGCATATTTGAATTGAAATAGTACAGGATCGGAAAGGAATGGAGGAGTTTTTAAAGAAAAAGAAAGGATTACAGAAAACCAATGTTTGATTAAAGGAAAGGACAAAATACATTATAATTTAATTTTTTTTATTTATATCTTTTTAAATAAAATATTTCACCTATTACGTATTTGATTTTTTAAATGAATTATTTTCATTATATTTAAAATTGAAAGAGAAGAAAAAGAATTTCAATTAGTGATTTGCATTTTTTTGGATTATTTAGTTTTCTTGAATTGTTTGTGCATAATTTTTTTTTGGCATGAATTAGCTAAAGAGAAATTTCAAGAATAAGAATATCTCTTAATCTGTCTAGTATTATATTTTTTTCTCTCAATTTTATGAAGCTCCATTGTTGGCCTTATTTCTCTTATGTTGCATGTTTCTTGTTCTCTTTTTTTCTTCATAATTTTTGAATTAATAATAAAAGGGAAAGAAAAATTTAAAAACCATCAAGGCTATAAATTATTAGAAATCCAAGTTGCTGACCCACGTTAATGAAGAGCTATGAGCGGATTTTAAAGCTAAAGCAATTACTGAAATTTAGATATTGCAAAGGTTTTGTTTGAAATTTAAAGAATCAGTTTCAAGTTAGAAAACCTTGAATTTAAATTTTAATTGTAATTCAAAAAATCAAAACTAAAAAAAATAAAAAAGATATAATAGTCAATTCATAATTGTAAAGTCTTATCGTTTTCTTTTTTCTAATTTAAAATAATTTAAAAAATGACCATTTGTAGGGAAACGAAGGGGCTAAACACCCTTCCCGTTTTGTTTTTTTGTTTATTTATTTATTTTAATTTAGGTGTTATCCAAACAAAGGACAAGGAGGATTTCCCTTTCCCCTTCTTTTAGTTTCCTTCCCCTTTCCTTACCCAGTCCAAACTCACTTACCCCAATCCAAGGCCAGTGCAATGTTCCATAAAAACTAGTACGTCATGATCTTTAACACTATATATATACAAACACACGCATACATAAATAAACGCACACTTCAAGTTACAACAGAATAAAAAATAACTACTTGTATAAGTAAAACTAGAATTAATAATGCAGACTAATTGGGACGGCCGGCAACAATTACAAAGCATTATTCCTAGTACGAAAATGAAAGCCATTTCGGCAGGGCAATTATATGGGATGGGCCAAAGACCAGCCAGCTAGACGCCTCGGTTTTCTGGTAGTCCAATGAACAGTCCTGTCTCCACCTCTGAGCTCTGGCTTCTTTGACCGCTACAAGTTACTGCTTCTTTCTGTTGAGTTAATAGCTGCCATTGCCCCCCACCACTCTAAAAGTTCACAGGGAACAATTAATATCAACTACCATGGTATCCAGGAAAACTTGAAACATAGCTAGCAATGGCCAGCTCCCATCACTCTTTTATCATTCAGAATAAATCCTAGTTTTGGATTAGAAGCTCAAGCAACTCTTAAGAACATGAAGGTCATGACTCATGCGAGGTAGTAAATATGTGTATGGAATTTTGGAATGAAGGGATCACCTTTTCAGATAACTTTGCATTCTCTTCTTGCAGAAATCTCTCCTGAATTGAGATGAACATAAAAACTTTATTAAATAACACTGAATGCCTAATGGACATTTAAACTATTGCATACTTGTTTACCCATCATACCTTTGCTTTTAGTTGCTCTATCTGCTCCTTAAGCAAATGGCCCTGTAACATACATATACGACATAACAAATTCATTATAGCTTACGTTCACTTAGGATTTGTATGATTAATACTTTAGCTATTTGCTTTTCTTGAATAGAAAACAAAAAACTATATGTATATGAACAAAAGGTAAATAACAAAAGCACAGAGCTTTACATTCCTACATTTTGTTGTAGAAACATTGACATGAAAAAGGACAGTTCAAATTTGCTGGTTACAAACCTTTCTTGCCCTGATGTTTCTTAAGCTTCGTTCCAGCTGGCTTTCAACCTCATGAAGTTCGTCGACAGAACACAAACCAAGACCTTGACCCAACAGCTTCCTGAGGTAACAAAATTTTTCAGTTCAAACAGACCTCATGAAGAATGTGCTTACGTTAAATACTTGTCTGGAAGAAGTATCAAACTAAATCATTAACCTTTGAGAAACTTCAAGAAGCTCAATCTTCCTGACCATATTCGCTGCTTCAAGCCTCAGTTGCTAAATGTCAAAAATCACATAATCAAACCAGAATGTATACGTGTCTTTGAAGAACTCAATGAAGTTCACAGAGCAGTACAAATTATGATAAACGAACATTCAGTTCCCAAAACATATTATCATAGCACTGAAGCTAAATAATAATTATATCTGTTTGAACACATTGTAAAAGTAGCATCGAATATATAATAACCATTTAAAATTATCTAAAATCTTAGGTCATGTTTGCTGTATAAGAAGGATTAATACTCTCTTAATATAAAATGAAGAGAGTTATTTTTAATTAATGAGATTAAATTTACATGTCCTATGATACTCTTAAAAATTACGTCAATAATTTAAATTATATAAACTTTGAAAAAAAGTAATTTTGATCAATAAATAAATTATTAGATATTAATTCTGGCACACATTAAACATAAGATAAGATATATATGACTTGAGAAAATTTCTTATATTCACGGGCACCACAAAAAAAAAAAAATCTTTGTATTCATGAAAGTAAGAAATATTTTTGAACCACATATTTTTATGTTCTTTTTCTCTTCTTGTTTTTAGGTTTTTTGTTTTTATTAGTTGATGCTTGGGTTGATAATCTAATTTCTAAATTGATTGCTTTGATCAACTTTTGTTGCAACTTAATCGTTTGTATATCTAGTCTAAAATCACAATATGCCAGAATTTTACCCAATGTGTTGCTTCAGGATTTTTTTTTTTAATATAATTTGAATTTGTCAAAATTTGAGTTACGGTCACTAAAATTAAAAATCTAGTAATCTATTAATAAATCATATGATTGTTAGCATTAATAGATAAATTTTGTTTTAATTTTTAAAAATATTTTTTTCTACATATTATGTTAATATCACCATAACCACATTTTGTTTATAATAATGATAATTCTAGTAAAAAATAAAATTACATTTAAGAAATTTAAATATATCTAAAATGATTATTCATAGAACTAGATAATTGGTATCCTTATTTGTAAATGGAATTGATACATTTTCATATTCTTTTAGATATTTATATTTTATTGTATAATTTAACATATATTAATATTCTTGTAATAACAAAATATATTAATGTTGATATTCTCAACTCCTTTGACTAATAGTAGTGTAATAGTAAAATAAAATTATCATTCTAAACATAAGATTAAAAATAAAATTGTTTTACTAAAAAATTTAATTCGATTATTAATTAAAAAAATCATTAAGAACTTGTATAATTTATATCATATTTTATTTACTTTTATTTGAATAGTTACATGGCATAAAACAAATAGTTTTAAAATAGTTTAAATCACTAATATATGGATTAGTTAAAGAAATAATATTATGAATGATCTTGGATTATAGTTAAATATTTAATACAATACTTGAATTTTAAAATTCTCTAATATGATATTTAATTTATGAATTTATTAATTAATATGATATTTGAAGGTTTATTTATCACGTATCATTGTTTATAGCTAATCACGTTAGGGGTGAATACTATATTAATTAATTAATTCATAGTTTAGGTATTAATTAGATAATTTTAAAATTCAAGTGTCACATTAAATATTTTATTATAATTTAAGAGTTATTCATAATATTAACTCTTAGCAAAACGAACATCTAAACAATCAAAGATTAAGGTCTAACCTGAGTGTATCGTTCCATTTCAGGCTTGTCATTTTGCACTTCTTTGATATACTTGCTGTATCGTTCTATTGCCTTTTGCATGCTGATGCATCCATAACACAAAATGAAAATCAGTCCTTGTTATCTATTCTTAAGGAATAAGAACAATGAAAAGGCCACTCCTAGCATAACTCAGTTGTTCTTTCATGTTAATATAAACGAAACACGTATCATCCGCTTTCCAGGTTTCATATATAGTAATGGATCAATGGTCATCATGTAGTTAGGGTCCCATCATTGCAGGATTCTGTTTAACTGCAACATTTTTTCATGGCGCATGCTCTCATGGCTTTAACAGTGTCTTAATACTATTAATCCAAGGCTTTTACCTTCGCACCTAGGATCTCAAAATGAAAGGCTTTTTGTTCTTAACTGTATTCTAGTTATTGATAGGACTCAAATTCCACATATGTAGTGTGAAATTTAATCTAGAGCTTTCTCAATAAAATAAGCGGAATCATCATACATATATCTCGAGCAGGAGTAATAGCTTTTCTTATTTCCTATGTAAAGCATTGAGAAAATGAAAGTTGACATTGAGCATGAGAATCATAGGAATTCATCTATTCATATAGGTGAAAAAGTTCATGTCTTTCTGCTCTACTACATATTATATATATTCCTGCAAGTGAAAGGAATTTTATCAGATTCGGTACCAAGAAGCCTCTATAAACGACTAAAAGAGGATTTGGGATTGTGAATACTTCCAAACAATAGTTTACCATAAGAGACTTTTTTTACTAAAATTATGCTTGTGTCAAGATGCACAACGCTTACAAATGGAAGGAGGTCCCAAATTGATCGGTGGCTACTGTGGAAACATCATATGCGTTGGATATACTATTTTTTTTTTCTAAATTCATACATTAAGCATTGAGAATATCATAATTTAGGTTGTGCATGAGAAACATAAATATTCATCTATGCAGCGCAAGAAAAATTTGCTAGGCTTTCTGCTATCCTTATTATATTCAAAGTGGAAGGAACATATGAAGATTCAGTAACTATAGGCCTCTATAAATTTCTAGTATTTTTCACTTTTCTTTTCCTTTGCATTTGTGATGATTCACAATATTAGAGAGGTCACCATTACATTAATCAATTAACCAAACTATATTTCCCTTTCAACAAACATTTATTATAGAAGACTCTCAAATATTAATTTAGAGAAAAACAAAGCAAAGAACATAATAGTGCAGCTAGGTAAACATCAGAGAGGCTAGCATAAATCACTGAATGGCTGAAAATTCAAGTAGCCCTTCCTCGGAAGCATGTTAGACCTTCAGCAGAAATTAAAAACCATGGCCTATAGCACAAATATACAACAGAAATAGATTGGCATAAATCATATTTTTTTCTTTCATGAATAGTATTTCGTAATTTTATGTTCTGATCAATTACCTTCCAACAAAAATTGATTATCGGAAACTCCATAAAACTAATTTAGAGCAAAAGAAAGCAAAGAACATAATGGTGAAGGTAAACACCATAGAAACTAACATCATGCATGCACTAAATGGAAAATAATTGATATAGCCCTTCCACTAAACATGTTGGACTGCAGACGAAAACTTGTGACAATGGCCTAAAAGCACAAGCAGAAAACAGAAATACATCAGCATAGATCATGCTCCCTTTCCCTTTCATGCAATGTATTTGATAATTTTGTGTTCTCAATCATGCAAATTTGGTCTCTTAGAACAAACAATGTATGGATGTTTTGATGCACCCTTGAAAAGTGGAAAAGCATTGATTAATTAATTTAACAAATCCCAGGAACACATAAGTGATACTGTTAATCCCTCATCAAGTTAATTCATGTACTTCAGATTTAAACCTATCACGAGAACTAATACTAAACAGGTTATTTGATCCTTTCTTGAACCAACAATTCATCTCAACCTTTAACTGTATTAGATTAAAGAGTTAAATAGCTAAAGAAGTTAGCTCTTCAAGCTTGTCAATAAATTAGATAAAACTATTTCATTAATGAGATGAATCAAATGATGTCATCTCATTAATGGGTAAGTGTTTTAACAAAATATTAATTTTTTTTATATTTATTTTAAGAATTGATATTTGCTCATTAATAAAGTGACATCATCTGATTCACTAATAGCATATAGACTTTATACACTATCAGTCCATCAAATATAAACTCGTAAAAAATTAAGATATATTCCCATGTAGGTTAATGTCAGGAGTCCCCCCTAAACTATAGTAGTTAAAATGTTTAATGTGTTACTTGAACTTAAAAAATATTGATTTAACGTAATATCTGAATTATGACTCTATTAACTAATAAGATACTCACCCTTAAAGTGACTAATTTCAAATGATGATATGTGAAGAACAAATAAATATTGAAGTATCACATTAGTTAACAGATTCATAATTCATTTATCACATTAGAAATTTTTAAAACTTAAGTACCATATTAAATATTTTATTATAATAGAGGGGCATCCATAACATTAACCCTCCAAAGTACTTTCCATTTTACATTTTGCTGACTCCTTAACTAAATTGGGGGTTCATAGAAACTCAAACTTTATGGCTTGGATATAGCATTGCATTTTCTTGCATTAATAAGATTTTTTTTAACTTTGAAACAATAAAGTATTTTCCATTTTACTAATTATATGCAATAAGATGGTTTTATTGGAAAATCTAGCCATTGAACCAGAAGTATCAGTGGCTGTTTCCCAGGCTGAATTCATTATTCAAAAAATTTTTAGTAAAACCCTAAAAGATAATTATTAGAAGATGCACTGACATTCTTAGACAAGGATTCAAATAAAGGTAGTCAATGGAAATTCAAGGGATGACTTCAAGTCCTCAACAACTTGAAAAGAAAATATTTCTTAAAGGGAGAAAAGGGAATGCAATAACATTATAAACAGAAAAACAGAAACACATGAACCCAATAACGATTCCAAGGACTTGATCATAGAACTCATATGGTACTCTTTTTTATCTTGTTCCTTCAAATTTTTTTTTTAAAGAACAAACACCAAGAGTAAGATTGCCAAATAAGGTAGTCAAAGACAAAAAAATCCACCGTAAATGTGCAAATCTGTGAAGACTGTTCATAGAATCTTTGACACTACAAAAAATACAAAATTGAATTGGGGGGAAAGATATGCTTGAGACCAAGAGAGAAGGAGAAGAATGAAACTCCTCTTATACATGAAAGCAATTATAGCCCAACATCATCATACACTAGGCCTAAACTATTGCAACTACCCATACTATGTTGCTACAACACGCATTCATATATACCATCTTCAGCAAATTATCTCGAAAATCGACGTTATGAAAAGGGAAAAATTAGTGAAGGAACATACTCGGAACTTGAGTACTCATATACTCTTCCTTTCTGTGAGAAAATAATGACAGAAACTTCAGCATCGCAGAGAACAGAAAGCTCGCGAGCCTTCTTCAACAGCCCGCTTCGACGCTTGGAGAAGGTCACTTGCCGGCTAGTTGCATTTTCAATTCGCTTCATCTGAATTTTCCCTCTCACCATCTCCTGTTTTCACCATCAAAACTCGTACGTTTAGAAATGCAGTGAAGATCTTCGGAAAACCTAAAGCCTAAAACAGCGAGAAAGAATACCCACCAATTTAAGAAGAAAAATTCTTCAAAAATTCTTCTAGTTAAGCACCGATGTGATGGCAAAATATGTATAACTAGTCACTAGAAATGATAAGTTTCAACCCAGAAATATAAATGAAGAAAATAGTCAAAATTTGGTGAGGCTGTTGACAACCCAGTATCCCATCAACAGCAACAAGAAAATATTTATTAAGTTTTAAAACAAGAGTAGCAGGAATAAAGAAAAACCTGAATAAAATTCTCAAATTAAGGAAGTAAGTTCAATAAATAGACAAAAATTTCTATTAAAAAAACAAAGAAAAAAGAAAGGAAAGAAGAAGGAAGAATCAGAGCTGTGAGAAGGGTGAAATGAAAAAATTCAGAAACCCTGAAAAGATTCACAGAGCAAAAACGCTTTGGACTGTTGATGTATCACTCTCTTTATTTTCAAACCACAAACCCTAAAGTTTTTTTTTTTTTTAACGACCTTATTCATACATTTTTGTATTCCTTTCTTTCTTTCTTTCTTTCTTACTCTTTCAGGGTGGAAAAAGAAAGGCAATGATCTGATTCAGATCAAAACAGATTCGTTCAACCCCGAAATAAACGATACAAAAAAGATTTGAAAGACTATGAAGGGGGCTTTATCTTGTTTTGGTAAAATTAAGAAAAGAGTAAAGGAAAGTTGGAAAGAAGCAAGAAGTAGACAGAACTCACTAAAATACTCCGAAAAACAACAGGCAAGGAAACGATAAAAAAAAAAATCGATGTCTGGACAACATCATCGTACAATGATTTACGTTGCTGACCAATGGCATCTGGACAGTGCACGATATTGCATCGACGAATGGTAGCAGACTTGTCACGTGTCTCGCCGTGTTTGGAGAGTCAGCGAAAACTTTTCTTCTTGCTTTTGCTTTTAGTCTTTTATACGTATATTTTTACGTGTATAATAATTAATTAGGGATATTATTTGTTTATGATAACAAAGTGGGCGGGACAACGATTTTAGCTCCTAAGTGCAGGGAATTTGTGATAATGGTGTGGAGTATTATATGTTTGCAATTTTTGGATGTGGCAGATTGTTTGAGGCTGGGGTCTTTTTTGCCATTTTGGTGGGTTGGTCTTAGGTTTATTTTCGTATGTATTTGGTTTATTTTCTTTTTTGCCATTTTCAATGTATTTGGGTTCTTCAGTCTAGAACCACTACTCTGATTAAGTTAAAATATTAAAAAAATTCTTAAATTTTATCACTTTATTTAAAAAATTTTTTATTTTTATATTATATCTAAATAAGTTTTTATTCTTTAATTTATATTCAAATAAATTTTTATTTCAAACAAGAAATTAATTTATGTTAAGAGTTTATTTAGATATAAATTAAAAATTAAAAATTAATTTAAATACAATTTAAAATTTAAAAATTTATTTGAGTATAAAGTAAATTTTAAAAATTTATTTAAATACAATAAAAATATAAAAGTGCACTTAAAAAATGTAATAAAGTTCAAAGATTTTGTTAAAGTTATCTTAGCATTCCACTTAGCTTGCTTGATAAAAAATCATAATTTAAAAAATATAAAAAATAATAAATATTAAAATTTGAAGTTCAAAATTGTTAATTGTGATAACCAACTCTTGTTGTTGTCGACTTTAATCCATCAACAGTGCTTTGTGTTTGCACACTTACAAAGATGCGATTTCTTGTTTAAATCATATATACCCTACATGATTGCAAGCATTGCTACGATTAAAATTAAGCAATCCCTTTTATATATACCCTAGTGGGCTGCTCTCGCTTCACCGATGGTACAAATTTTTTATATTATTATTTTTTATGTTAGCATGAAATAAAATAAAAAGTTTTAATATTGTAATTATTTTTTTATTTTTAGATCATAATAAGTTTTTGATTGACTATCAAACGATAATATATAAATTCAACTCTACAATTTATTTATCTAAAATTTTATGCTTCTAGTAAACTTAAATAAAATAACTTTAAAAAACTTTTTATATGAAACATTATTTATGGAATGCAAATATTCTAGTTGGTGAAGCTAAAAGAAATTCTAAAAAATTTTAAATTATTAATTATCAACTTTGAAAATTTTCATTGATAGTAAAAATGTCATAAATAGTTCTATAAAATCATTTTTACACTCCAAATATGTGATGCATATTAAATTTTAATAAGAGTAAATCAATAGATAAGACAATACAATAATTAATAGAATTTTACATAAAATATGAAATATCTAAAAAAATCTCTAAGCAGATGTCTATTTATGAAGATAAAAATCATAAATCCGATTGATATTTGAATTATTATATAGAAGCCAACTTTTGTTGATGTCAAAATCCCTATCATTTTATTAAAAGCAAAGTATACTTAGAGATTATGCTACCGCGCATCACTGTAATCTTCCAAAATATAGTAATGCTTAATAATCAAGTTCAAATTACTACAGCGCGTACATGTGTACAACAACATACAAGGTAATGTATTATTTATGTAAATAAAAACTAAAACCCTACACTTCAAAAGAAACAATAGAGAGAGTGAAAAATTATCGCCAATGCTATTGCGACTGGTGACAACACGAGCGAATAGTGGAAGTGGGTCAACAAAAGCGTTGGAGAAAGGCATAATTGGCATACAAACGCAAAAAATGGAAGTGGTTCCACCGTCCAAACCTAAAATCACCTGTCCGTTTATCGCCATCACCATCTAGTGCTCAAAGTCCCAAATTTCTCCATTCTTATATCTCTTCATTGTAGAAAATTCTTGCTGATGATTCAAACTATAAAATTTCAAAAAAGACGAGTTAGAAAATAGTGAATAAGCCAAATGTAAAGTGAAATTTCATTTTTGTATAGTTTAATAAAATTAACATATTGAAGAATTGGTTTATCATCTTACTTGCATAGATGAGAATTCTTACATGAGGCATTGCTCTATCATCTTACTTGCACAGATCCAAGACATAATTTTTTCATCTATTTTTACAATATCTATCTTAACTACGAATGTGACCTTGCGATTTAAGAAAAGCTCATCTCTTTTTTCCTTAATTTATAGTGTAGCTGATTTTTGTTTTCTGCTTCTTAGAAGATCTCTTGTTCTAGTTCTTTATATAGACAGTAGCATTTGTAGCATTCAATATTGTATGCGAATCTAATATTCCTAGCTCGACTTTATGAAACCTTGACATATAAATCAGAATGTTTAATCTAAAATTTGTCAATTCCCTCTCCTGCCCATACCTATTCATAAAATGTTTAAAATGCAACAATGAAAGCATTTACCATTCTTCTAAAAGTTTTATATATAGACACAACTAGGCATAGGATTCTACTTAACCAATCTACATCTATTCCTTGTCATTGGAATCTTCTTTCACTATTAGTAGAGCCTTGTGTACTTACGCTGGATTTACTCCTTGGACAAGTAATCATGGCATAGTACTTTGTGTAGTTCCTTTGCATGTTACCTCTTATTTTGCCATAGAGGCCTATGTTGCATTATTTTATGAATGGGAGCTCAAACTCATTGGTTGATATAGGGTTATCTATTTGAGTTTAAAGATAAGAACGAAAGGTTTACTTTTTTTGGTTGTTAATACTTTCATCTTGATCATGCTTATCCGGTGCCATAACTACTCATTGGTATTTAGACAGCATGTAGGTTCGAAGGAAACATTAAAATGCAAGTAAAAGGATAAAGATTTTCAACCATGTAGGAGTAGAAATTCATTTAATCAACAATGGCTATAATATTTGAACTTTAAATGTTTTATTTTTTTGGTGATTTGAGGGTTTAGATTTTAAAATTTTTATTGCATAAATTGTAAAAACAGTTAGAGATAGTTTGCCTTTCATTTTTCCCCAGCTAAATTAGATAGTATAGTTGAAACATCAATGGAGTGTAAAATTATACATATAAGTTTGAAATTTTCATAGAAACATGAATTTTCCGCCAAAAAAACACATGTAATTATCTCTTGAATTCAACAGAGAATTTCTCTCTTTGCAACTTCTTTTTTTCTCTCATAAAGCCCAGCTTTTGCTAAAAACTATCAACAATTTTTAAAAAATAAATTAAATCAATAATACCCTAAAAACAAAATCTAATATTTTAAAATATATACCTTTTTTCAAATCACAATTTCTTTGTATATCCATTTCAGTAGGACTTGCCATCAATATTAGCTTTGTTACATTGTATTGCTTCACTGGTATGGCTGCTTACAACGACAAATCACTCAATCCCTCAAAACTCACTATCTCTCTTTATATTATATATCCGTTCACTACCAAAAGAAAACCTTAATTTTTTAATGGAAAAAAGTAAGAGCAATTTCAATTTTAATTGAATAGGTCAATAACAAAAACTTTACCATTAGTAGAATAACTAAAAACAACAAAAATCTTCGATCAAGCAAATTAAAGAACATGAAAAAAAACCTTAAAAATTGAAAATTTGAAGGCAAAATCGAAAAATAAAAAAGTTTCAAAATAGGAAAATAAAAAACAAAAAAAAAAGTTAAAAAAAGAGGAGAAGGAAATTGAGACTTTAGAAAGATCTAGGGGCATAACGATAGAGAGGTTAGTCCATCAGTAGCCTTTTTCCCTCTTTCCATCTTAATCGTTCCCTTTCCTTTTCTCTATTGTTCCCTTCTCCTTTCTTTTTGTTTTGTTTTCTTTTCTATCATCTATCTCAAAAAATCCAGAACGTTTAGTCTTTAATTTGGCCAAATTTACCTTTTAATTTTTTAAGATATTAATGATGTGTACAACAAATTAGAAAACAAAACAGTCATGGGATAACTTTTATAATACTTATAGATTTCTTTTCCCACAAATCTTTATTTATTCAAGTATATTTTGATATTAAAATTTTATGTTGAATTTGACTTATTATATTCTAAGTTGTTTGTTTTGATTTTTAAGTGATGTAATACTTTGATTTATGATTGTAATTTATAATTGTGATTTCATAAAAAAAATTTT